ACATACGCAAAAGTCAAAACCATAGCCATAGCTTATAGAGTTATATTCATTTATAATAGTGTTATCTTTGAATCACCTTCTAGAGTCAAGGAGTTTCCTAGATACGAGACACGACTATTTCCACTGCAACAAATGGTAGTCTAATTAAAGAGTCAAAGAAACCATATTTTCCCCAAACAGAGAACTCATAGTTACATTCAAAAAGTTAACATGGAATGGCTGACATGGATATCAATAAGACTACTAAATTTAGGCTTGTTAAGCTTCTATTGATTTTCAATGACTAACAAACATGTGCTAATTGTTTTAGAAGAGTGATCATAAACAAGGTTTTGTCGGCAAGAATTATTTAGTTCAATAAAACTTGTCAATATACGATAGTTCTTAAAAAAATTAAAACTTTTTCTTTTAGTAGTGAAACGAAAATTAACTGTTGTGCTACGAGTGAAAGTGAAACATCTCAAACATAGTAAATTAGGGTTTTCGCCAATACTAGTATATGTGAATGGTGACAAAGTACGGTAATTCCATGCAGCTGTTATGCCATCGTTATAAATGCACCAAACTGGATCTTGATCTAGTGGTTTCCGTAAGAGAAAAGAATCCTAGTAATGATTTCACTTGCGAAAAGGAATATTTCCGAAAGATATAGACTAAAGTTTTGGGTCCACGAATACTAGAGTCTAGGTTCGAACTTCATGGCAAAAAGAAAAAAAGAAAAAAAAGCTTGTCTTGTCAGTATCTACAAAACCGCCATTCAACATTATATACATGAAGCCAAAGAAATATTTCATTTTCAGAAAAAAAATCATTAAGCTTATGTAAAAGATATTTTAGCAGATTTATGACAGATTTATATCTTTTTCTTCTAGATATAACTTAGATAGAGATACAACATCTTTTGCAAATCTTTTATGACGTAGGTAAATTTAGAGCATACTTTATGTAAGTTATTTATGACTACGTCAAGTTTACGTTTACCGGAAGACTTGCTTAATCAACCTTGATATTAAATAATTACAACAAACACGAACAAGTCTTCTATGACAATAACCGCTTAATCAACCTTAAACGTCTGCTTTTATTTTAGATCGATTGCTATAGCTAGATAATATAATTTTTTTTATGTATACAGTGTTGGTTATTTTCGAATTTCCTTGGTCTTTTGGAATAGATTTAACTTATAAAATATAAAGACTAATTCAATGTTGTTTGTTGGGTAAAAAGGGGAAATTCAATGTACCAAAAGTTATGTTAATAGTAAAATATAAAATTAAGCGAATATAGTTGGTATAAATCTTAGTCTTGAACCAGTGAAACGAGGACAAAATCAAGGACCAAATTTCCATCATGTCTGTGAGAAGGTCACATAAAAATCAACTATTATAATTTGTGTGTATATTTTTCCAATAAGACACGCTTTATAAAACTCATGCTTCTATCAAAATGATACTTTGATTTATGTACATCCAATTTGTATCAATTGCATGATTTATATTTATATCATATTATAAATTGAAAATCTTAAAAATATCATACTTTCAAGTTTTGTTTCAGAAAATATAACTATTAGTTTGATGTTCCAAAAATACCACCGAAAGTTTTGGTATTCTAAAAATAATATAGTTTTAAAAGTGTATGGTTTAATGTTTAAGTTTTAGTTTTGAAAGTTGAAAGTTAAATTTTAGTTAATTTATGGTATTTTTGAAAAATTAAAACTTCAGTGGAATTTTTGAAAAACCCAAACTTAAGTGGTACTTATAGAAAACAAAAAGTTAAGCATGGTATTTTTGATAATTGCCCTATATATATATATAATCTGATGGCTTGTACATTTTATTTTATTTTATTTTTTATCATTCTAACAACTCTTAAAGACTCTAATAAAGACTTATTGAATATCCTAGAAAATTTTAATACCCCGACATTTAAAAAGTTGTAAGACAGAATCTTATATAGGAAAAGGAAATTTAATATTAAATATCAAATTAGGTGATAAACACCTTTTTATTTTATTAAGCATAAACTTTTAATTCGTGATACATCATTACTTAAGTGTTAAAACGATAAACACTCGTATTGTTGGTGACTAGATTTAGTTTTTAAACTTGGCTTCAAGATCCTTGACAACATTGACATCTAACTGAAATGCCTGAGCGAGAATATCTGGATTAATCGGAGGCGTTGACCCGAACACAGTGTCTGCGATCGTGATAACACCAGCGTTCTGACTACTCAATCCAGCAAAGGCCACTGCGGGGATTTTTCCGATATTAACTTGGAAATGGATCATTCCAATGGGGAACACGAACACGTCGCCGGGGTTCAGCACTTTGGCGAATAAACGGTTATTGTCTTGATTGGAAGAGACAAAACCTACATATAACGTTCCCTCGACAAGAACAAGGATCTCAGTGGCACGAGGGTGGGTGTGAGGCGGGTTTTGTCCATAAGGCGCATAGTCGATGCGGACCAAGGATATTCCCAAAGTGTTTAACCCGGGAATCTGGTCGACATTGACTGTTGTCACGTTGGATTTGACTCTATTAGTAGTGTTTCCTGCCTTGTTGAGACCTGAGTAGAAGAAATCTTCTGCCTTCGCTTGCTTCGGATCCTTACAGAACTTACCATTCACAAAAACTGCAAGTACAAATATTGAGAGTAATAATTAGTTGAGGAGGATCGAGCTTACAAAATAATAAAGGAGAATAATAATTAGTTGAGAGTTCAAGAATTCGAGTTTTATACTTACCACCATTTTTGAGGTCACCAATGGCCACACAGAAGTCTTGAAGTGGACTTGGATCAGAAGCTTCGGCAAAGGAAATGACCAAAGCCGATATGGTTATCAAGACGAGAGACATGGGAACCCTCATTTTCAAAGAAAAGGTTTTTATGAGTTTTTTTATGTGTGAGTGTGTGTGTTGTTTGTGAATTGTGAAGCATTTTAGCTCAGTATTTATAGGGCAAAAGCGTGTGTCATATTTGACGTGGTCCAAAGTTATGCTACATTTGTAAGTCGCATGTTTCAAAGTGGCAGTTCAAGAACGTTTAACAAGTCTATCAATAACCTAATCTGTCTTTAATTAAAAATGGATTTGCATGACTACATACACATTTAAACAGTCCCACGACCAGAGCTTGTAGCTTATTGATTTATAATAATTTTTCATTGTATCACCTTCTATATTTAAGTCTGGTAAAATATGAGTTAATGAATTATTGGCCAAAAATATATATACACGTCATCGCATGTTATGGGCAAAATTGAGAGTAGTAGCAAGTTCAATGGTAAATGCACCTCGCTATTCATAACAATTGGTCATTTGGTATGAGTTGTTTATCAGTATTTTGTTTTAACATTTTGTAATTGACAATAAACACGAACAAGTCTTCTACGCACATGATTCTGTTTTTATTTTAGATTGAATGTTTGGGTAAGAATATTTTCAAAATTTTGGTTGTTAGGGTAAGAAAATATCTAGGTGCGTTGACAAAAAAATAATATATCTAGATGCATTGATCTTGGTTATTTTCACAATTCACAGGTCTTTTTTGGAATAATATTTTCTCTTATAAAACGTAATGACTAATTCAAAGCAGGAAAAGTATGTTAATACTAAAATATCAAATTAAGCAAAAAAACATCATTAGTTGGTATATATCCCAGTCTTTAAACTGCCACAATGACAAAAGTAGTGACCAAATTTCCAACATGAATTTGTGTGTATCTTTTTATCTTTTTCCAACAAGACACGCTTTCAAAAATTCTCAATCAAAATGATACTTTGATTTGGAAAATAAAATAGAATTTGATCGTCTATTTCCCATTTATCGCTTGATAATTCATTGGGGTTTTTGGGTCTTTGAAGGATTGAAGTTTGTTTGAAGGATTGGGGTTATTCACGTGATATCATTCGATGATGAATTTTTTTTTTCTGACAGTTGAATGTTTTTTCTAACAATTTTTACTTCATAAATATTAATATTTTATACTTTTAGATGTCGTTTTAGTAGTAAATTGATGCATTTCTATGAAAGTTAATATTTCTGTTTTAAGATCAAGTATCATTAGCTCATCAACTGGTAATACTCTCAGGCAAAGCGTAGACGTGAATGACATTTAGACAGAGACCATATAAAATATTTTGGTCCCTAGTATGAAGGGATGTACGAATCTAGGCTCAGAACTTCTTAGTTATTAAAAAAAAAAATTGTTTTATAGCTTTTTTACTTTGAATAGTTCTTTTGTAGCAACTTTAAAATATAAAGACCTGATTAGGTATTCATGTAAAGCGACATCATAAAGACCTGATTTGAAAAATTGTAACAAAAAAGACTTGATATTAAGTTACGTTGACTTGTTTTTTTATCCAGGTAATTTTGTTTATAAGTTAAATATTTTAGATGGAGGTTTGAACTTGAGTGGCTTTATAAAAACAACATTCACACAAAGCACTAGACTTAATCAGGTCAATGTGATTAATTTGATATTTATCCAATTGAGTAGTTTTCACTTTTCTTAGACAACGCGTCGTCCAAATTTTCATCTACTTTATCTTTGGAAAGTAAGGAACAAAAAACATGCAATCTTAACGCCGGAGACAACTTTTAGAGCAACTTATTGCAACTTTTTAAGAAACAATATTTTGCAAGAAGGGGGTAGGACGAAGTTCACCGATTCATTGTAATGCTGGAACTTGTTTTTTCTTTCCCAAATCTTTTCTTATCACATTTATCTCATAATAAATTCTTTTCAGATACATAAAAAAAAAGGAAAAATATACTCCATTTGGAATTCGTTCCGTATCATAGGCATAATAAAAGTAGATGCTGTATAAATTGAAGAGTCTTTTTCCTTAAATGTTTGTATCGTTCTAACAACTCTTAATATTGTATCGAGTATCTATCTCTTGATTATGCTGACAATAGGAAAATGTTTGACATATTAAATCAATATAAGAAGAGTACAATTCGTTTTAAATATTAATTAGGTGAACCAAATCATTTTTATTTTATTAAGCATAACATTTTCTGATTTTCATAGTATTATACTTTATTTAAGTCTTACAATGAGAAGCACTCTTAGAAGACATACACTCAATTCTTGGATGCAAACTTGGCCTCAAGGTCTTTGACGATATTGACATCTAACTGAAATGCCTGAGCCAGAACTTCTGGATAAATGGGAGGTTTCGAACCAAACACAGTGTTTGCAATGGTGATGACACCAGCATTCTGACTACTCAGTCCGGCAAAGGCAACCGCGGGGGTCTTCCCGATATTCACTTGAAAATGAATCATCCCTATGGGGAACACGAACACATCACCGGGGTGCAAAATTTTGGCGAAAAGACGGTTATTGTCTTGATTAGAAGAGACAAACCCAACATATAACGTTCCCTCGACAAGGACAAGGATTTCAGTGGCACGCGGGTGTGTGTGAGGCGGGTTTTGGCCATAAGGCGCATAGTCTATGCGAACCAAGGATATTCCCATAGTGTTTAGCCCTGGAATCTGATCAACATTCACTGTTGTGACGTTGGATTTGACATTATTATTGGTGCTTCCGGCCTTGTTGAGACCTGAGTAGAAGAAGTCGTCTGCCTTCGCTTGCTTGGGATCCTTACAGAACTTACCATTCACAAAAACTGCAAGTAGAAATATACTTTTGAAAAATATGTTCTTACAACAACGAATTTTTTCATAATTAAACAAACATGATTATTTTTTTCATACCACCATTGTTGAGGTTACCAACGGCCACACAGAAGTCTTGGAGTGGACTCGGATCATAAGCATTGGAAAAGGGAATGACCAATACCAAAGAAATGATAGAGATGAGAGAGTGAGAAACCTTCATTTTGAAACAGAAGGTTATGCTTAATGCGTTTTTATGATTTGCTATTTGTGTGTGTGTTATTTGTTAAGCATAAGTGCTTACTATTTATAGAGCAAGAACGTATGTCATGTTTGACGTGGTCCAAAAATATTTAAATCTATACTACGTTTCAAAGTGGCAGTTAGAAACTTAATTAGAATATTAACAAGTCTATAATTAAATTTATATTAATTAATTCGGATTATTTGCATGACACACTACCGCGTATTATAGGAAAAATTTATGCTTTGGAATAATATAAGTAGAATAGGCGGTAGGTAATGAACAAAATAAGTGGAATGTGACGAACAAATACATAATTAGATGGTGATTTTTAGAACGCAGATATTTTTTTAGAACTTTCAATTTTCGGATGACTTTTTTTTTTTTTTTTTTCAATTTTGGGATGACTAAACTGATTGTTTTTTTGCAGGAAATGTTTGGATAGATCAAACTAATTTTTACAAATTATCTAAGCTTAAAAAAAAAAGTTAAATTTATAAATTTTGCATCAAATTATACACTTCAAACATAGAAAATTCACCTAAACAAAAATCATTTCCTTTCCAAGTACAGACTTTTGGTTAGTAGCACGAGTTTGCAGCTTCCATATTCATAACCTCTGACAAAATTTGTCAATCCATTTTTATCATTTCACTAACATTATAATTTTGAAAATATATAAAATATTCAAAAGTTTTGATGAATTAATACAAAAAATATGACAGCCATTATTACTGGAGAAAAAAAAACCAACAATTCCAAAATTTTAGGTACGAAATGGTAGGTTTACATAATATTTGGTAGACTTGCACAAAGCTAGCAAATTCATAGCACACAGGCACATGTAAATTTACTAATCTATAACTAAAGTAGACACTTCTATCGTATGAAAAATAGACTTAGAATACTTCAACAATATAGGTTATTGGGATCAGAAAATGTTTGAGTTAAAAAAAAAAAAAATGTAAAGTTAATAATTTTAGCTATTTAAAAGATTTTTTTTCCTGTTTAGTATTATTTTCCCTTGCAAAAATGTAAGACTAAATCAATATATCAATATAGGAGTGTTTGTTGCATCCTTTTTGAGAAGAGGTCCATAGTCTAGTGGTATTATTTCTCATATATGAGTGTCAGAGGTATTGAGTTCAAGTCACTCTGTCACCACAGTGGTACTGAGCGATCTCCAAATAAAAATTTCTTCATACGAGTAGGGGCAAGCGGTGTATACTAACCCGTAGGTCTAGGCCGGAGATGGGATTTTTTCTGGATATGGGCCGTGTTGGGGTCGGATTCCATCCCTTAGCACCGAGCCGGATTTTGGACACCTCAGGGAACTTCTGAAGACACCTCGGGGAAATGTATCAATCACCTCGGTGAACCAAGCCATTCACCTCGGGACGACGAGCCCTTCACCTCGGGACGACGAGCCATTCACCTCGGGACGGCGAGCCCTTCACCTCGGGACGACGAACCACTCGCCTCGGGGCAACATGCCAGTCGCCTCAGGATCCATAGGTGAACTCGTAACCCGAGCCAGCTCTTCCACCGACCGAGCCGGTTCAAGTCGAAATACCCGAGCCACTTCCTTCCGTGTGCCCGAGGCCATCATTTCGGGGTATCCGAACAAGTCATCTCGGGTACCCGAGCCGATTGCATAAGTTCTCCAAGGCGAAATCTTCATCATCACCCGAGGCAAAGACTTGTAAAATATTCGTCTTCAAAGTACCATTTCCAAGTAAGTCGTCATTTCCGAAAAAGGAGGATCATTTCCGATAAACCCGGAAATGATAAGGAAGAATCTCGAAGGATCGACCTGGATCAGGAAATCTTCCAAAATACTCCGAAGAATAAGGAAACTATCCTAATCCGCGATATTCTAAGCCGACTTCAAGATAAATGGAAATCTTCCGAGAATATCGCTGGAGAGGCGGTTTATCACCCCTATATAAAGAGACTCAAGGCTCTCGCAGAAAGCAAGCAATCTCGCTCTAGAATTTACACTACACAAAGCTCTTACAGCGCAAACACCTTTTTCTTGTACGATCAAACTCTTGTACGATCAAATCTATTCTTTTCATCAATAATAGCAAGAACACCATCTTTGGTATCAATTGATTCTGTTGTTCTTTGAGAATTCACGATTATCGTATCCCTAAAATAAAACCCTAGACAAATCTCGATTGTGTTAGTTTCGACTTCCACAGTTTGGCGCCGTCTGTGGGGATTACTTTAGAATTCTCTTACCCTAAGACGCAGAACTCGATTACCGAAGAACGATGAACGAAGACGGTCGTCAGACACCACCAGGCGGTGGAGAGAACCCTAATCCTCCAAACCCTCAGAATCCTCAGGCCGATCCGACGATCACAGCAACCCTAGCCGAACTGAAGGACTTGATGGTTAAATTCCAGAAGAAAGCTGACGACCAAGAGAAAGCTAACAAGACCTTGGCACAGCGAATCGAAGAAATCACATCCCGTGGGCAACACAAAACCACGCGCTTTCAAACTCGTCCGCTACGAGCCCGGAGGGACTTGCCCGGCATCAACCCAACAAGGCTCACGTTCACAACGCCGACCGACAACAATAGAGCCGCAACCCGAGCCGATCCTGCTCAACGCGATAATCAAGATGATCCCACCGAGCCAGATGCGACGGATCTAACGGACGAGCCGGATAACCTGCAAGGCGAGCGTACCCGAGCCGGAGCTAACTCTACCGAGCGAACCGACCTCACCGATGACGAAGAAACTGAGGAAAACATAAGGTGGGCCGAAGAATCCGAAAGAGAGGACGAGCTCAGCAAGATCCGAGCCTCCCTAGCCAAGGCAGAAGCCGATATGAAGCTCGTCAAAACCCAGATACATAGCGTCTCATCCTCTGCACCTAACATCGATCGTATTTTGGAAGAATCTCGAAATACGCCTTTCACCAAAAGAATTTCCGAGACGACGATGTCTAATCTGGGGAAGTTCAAAATCGATTCTTACAACGGATCAACCGACCCGAAGTGCCACATTAAATCGTTCGTGATATCCGTGGCCCGAGCCAGGTTCAAGCCCGGAGAGAAGGACGCTGGTCTATGTTTACTGTTCGTGGAACACCTCAAGGGACCTGCATTAGAGTGGTTTTCAAGATTGGAACAAAACTCAATCGATAGTTTCGACGAGCTGTCGACACTTTTCCTCAAGCAATACTCCGTGCTCATTGACCCCGGAACCTCCGACGCAGATCTGTGGTCTCTGTCTCAACAGCCCACCGAGCCGTTAAGAGATTTTCTCACAACTTTCAAATCGACGCTAGCCAAGGTCGAAGGAATTACGGATGTAGCCGCCATTTTGGCTTTGAAGAAAGCTCTCTGGTACAAATCAGAATTCAGGAAGGAGTTGAACCTGTCTAAACCGACAACTATTCGCGACGCACTGCACCGATCCTCGGATTTCGTCGCCCATGAAGAGGAGATGGCGCTGCTGGCAAAGAGGCATGAGCCGACAAAGCAGACGCCCCGAGCCGAGAAGACCCAAGCAGCACCCCCGACCCAGAAGAAGACGCGTGAGAGCGGGACGAATACGCAACACGAAGGGCGCAATTTCTCGGGATACCACAACTACCAGATCGACACGCCCCGAGGTCGAGGTCGCGGCAGGAGCCGAGGCCGTGGACGAGGAAGAGAATCTTTCACCTGGACAAGAGATCAACCACCGAGCAATGATCAAGAGTATTGCGAGCACCACAAAATCTTCGGCCACCACACTTCGAGATGCCGAAGCCTTGGCGCTAAGTTAGCGACCAAATTCTTGGCAGGAGAGCTCGGGACAAACGTAACACTCAAGGACCTCGAGCCAGAGCCTGAGCCCGAACAAGCCAACCCGGGAAGAGACCCCGAGCCAAGGAACCAGGAATCTCAGAAAAGAGCCCGGGGAGCGCAGGACGAAGACCGAGACGGTACGCGGCAAAAGGTCCTCACCATAATGGGTGGATCGCCATACTGTCCCGACACCGTAGCCGCGATCAAAGCTTATCAACGCCGAGCAACTGGACCAGACCCTTCGATCGACCTAACGACGTGATCACATTCGAGGAAAGCGAGACGAACGGGCTCGACATGCCTCATAACGATCCGATCGTCGTCACATTAGCGATAGGAGATCATGATATTTACAGAGTATTGATTGACACCGGGAGCACCATCGACGTGATCTTTCGCGAAACGCTCCGGCAAATGAACATCGACATGTCACAGGTAACTCCGACTCCGAGGCCAGTCCTCGGGTTTTCAGGAGAAACTTTAATGACGCTTGGAACCATCCAATTACCAGTCCGAGCCGGCGGGGTGACAAAGATAGTCAACTTTTCAGTCACCGATCAACCTACCATCTACAACACCATAATGGGGACTCCGTGGCTAAATCTAATGCGAGCCGTCGCCTCAACATATCATCTCTGTGTCAAGTTCCCGACTCCCAATGGCGTGAAAACGATCTGGGGCAGTCAGAAAAATTCTCGGATGTGTTTCATGGCAGCACACAAACTTCGAAACCCCGTCACCGAAGCAAAAGCGGAGACCGACCACAAGAAATCAAAACTCGGCCGGAGCGAAGAGAAGGCTATATCTAAACAGTTATAGCAATTACAGATCGAGGAGGCACGCGAGGAGAAGAAGCCTACCTCGGATCCTGTAGTCTCCATTAGCCTCGACGACGAACGGCCTGAACGATGCGTGGAAATCGGCAGCGACTTAACCGAAGAGATCAAGACCGAGCTCATCTCATTCCTCAAGGAGAACATTAATACCTTCGCCTGGTCGGCTGAAGATCTACCCGGAGTAAGCATCGACGTAATCTGCCACGAGCTGAATGTTGACCCATCTTTCAAACCCATAAAACAGAAGCGAAGAAAATTGGGTCGGGATCGCGCAGATGCCGTGAATGCCGAAGTAGAAAAGCTCCTGAAGATCGGCTCGATCTCCGAAGCAAGATACCCAGACTGGTTAGCGAATCCTGTCGTGGTTAAAAAGAAGAACGGCAAGTGGAGAGTGTGCGTTGACTTCACCGATCTCAACAAAGCTTGTCCTAAAGACAGTTTTCCGCTCCCGCATATCGATCGCTTAGTAGAAGCAACTGCGGGAAATAAGTTGCTATCATTCATGGATGCTTTCGCAGGATACAATCAGATTCTCATGCACCCCGATGATCGCGAGAAGACAGCATTTATCACGGACCGAGGTATCTACTGTTACAAAGTCATGCCCTTCGGACTCAAGAACGCTGGCGCAACGTATCAACGGCTCGTCAACAGAATGTTCTCCGAGCAGCTTGGAAAAACGATGGAGGTTTACATCGACGACATGCTGGTAAAATCCCTCGAAGAAAACGATCACATAGCCCATCTACGCGACTGTTTCCGCCAGCTCAACAAGCACAACATGAAGCTCAACCCGGCGAAGTGTCGTTTCGCGGTAAAATCGGGAGAATTCTTAGGATATCTCGTAACCCATCGAGGCATCGAGGCAAATCCAAAGCAAATCGATGCCCTACTAAACATGCCTTCACCGCAAAACAAACGCGAAGTTCAACGCCTCACCGGGAGAGTCGCAGCCCTGAACCGATTCATCTCACGGTCCACCGACAAATGCCTGGCTTTCTACGATACTCTACGAGGAAACAAGAAATTCGAATGGACCGATCGCTGCGAAGAAGCCTTCCAGGAACTGAAGAAGTATCTAGCTAATCCGCCGGTTTTAGCGAAACCAGTCCCGGGCGAGCCGTTATTTTTGTACATCGCAGTTTCGGACACAGCGATAAGTGGAGTCATAGTCAGGGAAGACAGAGGAGAGCAGAAGCCGATATTCTATGTCTCGCAAACTTTCACCGACGCAGAAACACGCTATCCGCAAACCGAAAAGCTCGCTCTCGCCGTAGTAATGTCGGCTCGGAAGCTACGGCCATATTTCCAGTCTCACTCAATCGTCGTCATGGCGCCCATATCACTCCGAACTGTCCTGCACAGTCCGAGCCAGTCGGGACGCTTGGCCAAATGGGCAGTAGAACTCAGCGAATACGACATCGAGTACAGGAACAAAACTTGCGCAAAATCTCAGGTCCTCGCTGACTTTATCATCGAACTGCCAACAGAAAATGCCCGAGAAGGGTCGCCCGACGCCGTCTGGATCCTCCACGTCGATGGGTCGTCATCAAAACAAGGCTCTGGCGTCGGAATCCGCTTAGCATCACCAGAAGGTGAGATCCTCGAACAGTCTTTTCGGCTAAACTTCGACGCGACCAACAACGTGGCAGAGTACGAAGCATTGATAGCAGGACTTAGGTTGGCTCGGGGACTTAAGATCAACAAGCTGCGGGCCTTTTACGACTCCCAGCTCGTGGCCAATCAATTCAATGGAGAATACACGGCTCGTGATGAACGAATGGAAGCATACCTTGCTCTCACACAAGACTTGGCGAAACAATTCGAAGAGTTCGAGTTAACCAGGATCCCGCGAGGCGAAAACACGTCGACCGATGCCTTAGCAGCTCTAGCCTCAACTTCCGACACAAATCTGAAGAGAATCATACCGGTTGAGTTCATCGAAAAACCGAGCATTGAAGACAGTAGCAAGGATCAAGTTCTAACAGCTCGAGAGACAGAAGAACTAGAAGAAATGGACATCGAACTGCAGGATCAGCAAAATCTCGTTGCAACCGAGCCTGAATACGGGAGCGACGCCAAATGGATCGGAGCCATCCGAAGTTATATTGCGGATGGAGAAGTTCCTGCTGAAAAATGGGCAGCTCGGAAGCTTAAGGCGAAAGCGGCGCGGTATACCCTGATCGACGGAGAACTCTTCAAATGGCGATTCTCCGGACCTCTCCTTGTTTGTGTCGAAGGAAACGAAGCTCGGAGAGTCATGGAAGAAGTACACGGCGGATCTTGTGGAAACCACTCCGGCGGAAGAGCCCTAGCCATAAAGATCAAACGCCACGGATATTTTTGGCCGACGATGGTCAAAGACTGCGAGAAATTTTCTCAACGATGCGACAAATGCCAGAGACACGCACCAACCATTCATCAACCCGCCGAGCTCCTCTCTTCCATCACCTCGCCTTACCCCTTCATGCGCTGGTCCATGGATATTATCGGACCTTTACACGACTCCAAACAGAAGAAACTCGTCCTCGTTCTAACAGACTATTTCTCCAAATGGATCGAGGCGGACTCCTATGCCAGCATCAAAGACGCACAGGTCGAGAACTTCGTCTGGAAGAACATCATATGCCGCCACGGGATACCTTACGAGATCGTTACAGACAACGGTTCACAGTTTATTTCGGCTCGATTCGAAGGATTCTGCGAAAGATGGGGAATTCGCCTTAGCAAGTCTACACCCCGGTATCCTCAGGGAAACGGACAGGCCGAAGCAGCAAACAAAACGATTCTCGACGGAATAAAAAAGCGCCTCGACGCGAAGAAAGGCCGCTGGGCCGACGAATTGGAAGGAGTACTATGGTCGCACAGAACAACGCCGCGGCGCGCTACGGGAGAAACGCCTTTCGCTCTCGTTTATGGTACGGAGTGTGTCATTCCCACCGAAGCCGAGATCCCGGGGCTAAGGAGACGTTTGCTCCCCGAGCAGGAAAATTCCAACACTCAGATGATGCTGGACGAGCTGGACTTAATCGACGAAAGAAGAGATTCGGCCTTGGTCCGAATGCAGAACTATCAGAATGCTACAGCTCGGTACTACAATTCTCACGTGAAGCATCGCCGCTTCCACGAAGGAGATCTCGTGCTACGCAAAGTTTTCCAGAATACCGCCGAACAGAACGCGGGTAAGCTCGGCACGAATTGGGAAGGACCTTACACGATCGCAAAGGTGATCCGTCCCGGCGTCTACGAACTCGTCAACATGAACGGCAAAGCGGTACCTAGATCCTGGAACGCAATGCATCTAAGGAAATATTATCGCTAGGAACCTAAGGTACGCATGTACTTGAACTACGGGGTGGCTTGATCCCTGAAAAGGGTACGTAGGCAGCTCGTCCTCGGACGAGTTCAGCTACCCCCCCTAATCAAAAAAGGGGGGGAGTGGGTCCGTATACATATACTCCCACTAAATTTTTTGAAATTTTTTCTAAGTTACTCGTCAGGTTTTCAATTCAAATCCACCTCAACATCTTTCCCAAAATACATCTCGGGAACTTTTACGGTCTTCTTATCGACCCGCAAAGCCGACAGTTCGTTCGGACGATGGCCACGTCCACGAACAGAAAGCTCATTTCACCACTTCGGTTACAGCGCGCTATATAAGCATTCAAGACAATTCGGTCGGAGATATCTTACCACAAAGAAATTGTCTTCAGAAAACCCAGTCAACCTCAACACTGGTGCCCCAGTCCGCTCCTAAGCACTGGTATCGACTATATCAGCTCGGGTCGCAACCGATAAAGATTAGTCTCACAAAACCCAGTTACCTTAACACTGGTACGCTACTCATCGTCACGGTTCGGAGATTAACTTCTATCGAAACCCAATAACATTGACGTTGGCGCATATTTCGTTTTCTCGGCTCGGAGGTTAAAACGTTTGAAATTAATTTCTCAATGAGCAAGTCATAAACCCAGTTAACTTGACACTGGTGCACGATTCTTTTCGTTTTCAGCTCGGAAGTTAATACTATTCCGAAAAACTTGATTTCTCGATGAAACAAGTCGGATTTGCGAAAACCCGGTTACTCAACACTGGCACCGAATTCACTTCAAAAACATCTCGGAGTAAACAAGAAATATCAAGTGCTTGAAGAAATACGCGTTCAATTGGATAAAGCCATCCAGGCATAAGTTTTACAAATGAAACTTAAAACAAAGAAAAGGGAAAAGTTTATAGACGCCTCGGGATTATTCGTCTCGCTCTTCAGCATGCACCGCCGCAGGATCCAGAAACGTTCCTGCTTGGTCGATAACCCCAACTTCGGTCGCGTCACCTTCAACCGACCTATTCCCGAGGCTATCATGAGTGGACTCGAGAGACACCGGCGGAAACTTCAAAGTTCCGAGCAGCTCGACCGCGAGTTGAGAATACTCCGCTTCGGCGTCCCCGAACTCTTCTTTCCATGCCTCCACCTCTTTCTTCTCATCCTCGAGCGACTTGCCCTCCTCGAGCTCGGCGATCAGCTCGGCGTTTGCTTTGGCCTGGGAGAAGTACATGTAACGGTCGGCGACTTGGTCAAACTGTTCCAGTTTCGCCTCGATCGTTTCGATCTGCTTGGCGAACTCTTCAGTGACCACCCTTTTGGCAGCTTTCCTGGCTCGGGCTACCTCGACCTCCCGAAGAGACTTCTCCTCGGCCAGCAGACGGTTGAGGCGCTCAATCTCCGCTTCAGCTTTCTGCCAAATTCGAGCATTCTCCTCGGCCTCTTTCTGCCTCGCTTCTTGCTCAGCCGCGACTAAGGCCTCGGCTTTCTCCCTTGCTGCGGTCGCCTCGGTTAATCTCCTCTCCGATTCCGCTCGAGCCATCTCAAAATGCTCGTTGGCAGCTTCATGCTGGCGATTCGTAGATTCGTAAGAACGAACCAACGTGTTCATCGAGGAGAAAGCCTGGGAATAAAACGGCAAAACATGTTAGGAGCGAAGGTACTTCCGAACAAGAAGATAAAAAAAATTTATATATTGTTACCTTTAGAAAGTTGGCCGAAGTCTCGGCGTATCTTTCCGCCTCGGCCAAGTTCTCGGGGGCCGTCAACAGCGGCCATGCACACGAAGCAACAAGGTTGGCCGAAGCCACCTTGTCCTTGTAAATCGGTCGAGAGCTACTGTGACCGCTCTTCGACTTCTTCCTCTTCTCGGTAGAATGTTCGCCCCGAGGACGTTTTCCTTTAGACTTGGCCTGTCTACCAGCAGCCAAGCCAACCACGACCTCGGTGTGTTCGGCCTCGGGAGCTCGAACTCCACCGTCCCCAGCTGGGACGCCCTCAAATGCTTCGGGAGGAACCGAAGTCATAGCCAAATCGATCCCAGATCTTTCGGGATCATCAGTCACCTCGGGCCTACCAGCCGCCTCGGGCAGATCAGGTACCTTGGGTCCTCCAGACCCCCCAGGCGCGTCAGTCACCTCGGGTAAGGGTTTGAAAATTGCCTCGAGGGCTTTTTTCTGTTCGGCTGCTTCTTTCTCTGCAGCCTTCTTCTCCCGCAACGTCATCTTCGCTTTCTGCATTTCCACGAAGCCACTTAGTCGATGGTCCGAGGAGGATGATGATGATGAGCAAGATACACCACGGAGCAGCCTCAACGCTTTCTCAACCCTCTTAAGCCTGAAGTGCTTGGTCCAATGACACTTTCGGGAAGCCAACTCTTCGTGCGTTTCCAAAAGATCTTCAGGGATGAGCTCGAGAAACGTCGGGTCACGATCTGCAAATGGAAACAAAAGCGGTCAGAATAAATCGATCAAGTCGCGACAGAAAGAAAACTCAAACGCTTCGGGTAAACTACCGATTCTGCCCCATTTCGCAACAATTTTATCAAGGCACCCCTCGGGGATAGAGTCCTCATCAATCGCGACGAAGAAGAAGTGGTCGGTATATTTCTCATCCTTGCTCGGGAACCCACCAATGATCTTCTTATTCTTGCTCGGCGAGATGTAATATCTTTCCAGAGGACCCGGACTACGACGAACCTCCAGGAAATTCCTCAAATGCCCGAGGGACAAGGTTTTGTCCGCTTCAAAACTCCTCACTAAGATCCCAATAAGATGCCGTAATCCACGAGTCGAGATCTGAGCCAACGCAATCTTGTACGACCATAAGTACTCCACAATTAGCCTCGGGAGAGGGAACCATAAGAAACAAAAATAGAAAAACCCCTCGTACAGCGTGAAGAACCCCTCGGGAGGATTATCGGCTCGTTCGCTCGGGGTTGGAAGCCTCATAGTGACTCCTTCACTAAAACCGAACCGAGCCCTCAATTCTCTGAGGGAGTCCTCGGTGGATAATGTAGAACCAGGAGGATCGGGCTTTTTTACTCTTCTGGATCGCTTCGTCTTCTGTTGAAGGGCCTTAGCTGCTTGCACCCTAGCCTGAAGCATTCTCGCTTCCGCGTCGGAGTCATATTGAATTGCCTCGGCCTTTACAGGAAGCAAAGATGGCTCGGTTGCGTTCTGCCAGCGAGAGCCCCCAGCTTCGTCCTTAGCCGGAGGACGCATTCTCCCCGTGTTTAAACTCGCCTCGGGATCATCGGGAAGTGTAACGTCCGCGTCCCGCGATCCTAAAGGGGGCCGGTTTGTTTTAGGGAAAACTAGATCATGGTCGAGAAAGACTTATGAACAAGTTAACCCAAGGAACGAAAGAAACGTTTAAGTCATGAAAAGGGTAGATGACTTAGACGGTTTCGGGATAATCTAGTGATCATGGAGAAATGATCATGGAAAGAATGGAAAGGGCGTAGTCAAGGCCGAGAAAACGGACCGAAAGACTTAGCCGAAAAGAACGGACGAAACTGTCCGAGCTAATCCAGCTAGGTGAGCTGGATGAACTAGCTAGCTCAGCTAGGTGAGCTAAACCAGCTGGAGGACTAGCTGGCTCAGCTAGGTGAGCTGACCGGCAGCTCAACCGAGCTCGGTGAACTGATCGAGTACTGACCCAGCTGGGTGGTCCGGTCAGCTGACACTCGAGCTGGTGGACTGTGGTAGCTCGGGATGAAGAGGTGTAATGTCGAGCGGTTACCTACGAACGGTTACCGTTGGCCAAAGGGTGGATAAGGCCGAACGGTTACGATCGGAAAGACGCAACCTTTCGGAAGGGTGCAACGAACGGATGTGATGTTTCGGAAACACACCCATTCGCCCCCTATATAAGGGAGGACGCCCAAGGCATTCGAATCACCATTCATACACTTCACAATCACCAACACAATCCGAAAATGGTCCTAAACACACCACGAAGTTGTTGGACGGAAAGGGGGTGCGGCTCGGCGAGTATCTCCGGAATCGGAACGGATTCTCGGAGCCTCGACCGAACTGATGCGCATGCTACCTCCCGTTCCAACGGTTCGATGGAATGTAAAGGACGGTTGGATTGATCGGACCGAACGTCGGAGAGACGGGACGGATCGGGTAAGATGGTCGGGTCGACCGAATGATCGGATCGTGGTATCGATCGATGGATCGGATCGATGGAACGACGATTCGATCAAGGAGTTGGATGGACGGTGAGTTCGACGACTTGATTGATGGTTTGGATCGATAGCTCGATTATGGGATCGATGGATCGTCCATTCTATAAGTCATATCGTCGAGGGAAGGACACGAAAGGAAATGGATCGGCAAATCTCAGATTATCAATACGGAAGTATTGACGTATCCAAAGATAGACCGATAGAATGATATGGTTAACGGGAAGTTGATCGGGAAGGCGTATAAGGGAAAGGTGTTCGAGGAAGCACGAGGATAAGTGCAACCGAACACACCCAAGGGTCGCCCATGGATGCAATCTCACCGAGAAAGGGAGAAAGCACTGTGAATGGGTAAGGCACGTGGTTCTCCATGTAAGGATCAAATATCGCGGCCGCCTTATGAATCAAACGTCGCAGCCTTGGTGAAACCGATCGGAAATCGGTAAGACCAATGGTGACTCGACGGATAACCAACGGGAAAGTCCACGGTGAGAACCGATGGACAAAACGGGTGTTGGACCCGCGAGTAAACCAATGGCCGACGAACGAATGATTTCATGGGCAAGCCTACGATAATCCGATGGATGAATCCACGGACCCTTGGGTGTGATAATGGTATCGTTCGGAGCACATGGATGGATCGATAAGCCGAAGGCTTTACCGACCACCATGGATCGGACGGGTAAACGGTTGGTAAACCGAAGGGGCGTACGTTTGGAAGACGGATGGACCAATGAGCCAAGAGCTTGATTCGGCCACCGTGAACCAAGAGGAACGTACGATCCCCAATCTCTATCGTGGGACTTAGACCAGTGGGGTTGGTTGGATGTATGGCTAAGTAACGATAGAGATTGGTCCATCAATACACGATTGGTTAAGAATCGTTGTACGAATGGAATAAGGCAACAAAAAGGGCTAAGGGAAGGATCAATAGACGGATCGAAGAGGAATCGCATCCGCATGTTGGCCAAGGTATGTAAACAAATCTAACTTATTAGTTAAGCTAGACGTTTGGGAATTGGCCGTTGGATTAAGGTTAAAAGAATATGCAATCGTTAGACTTAGAATGGATAGCGAACAAATTGCATGACTTGGCCGAGTTAATGATTGATCTAAAGTCTAAAGGATAAAGATGATCAAACCGGTACAAGGGTTGGTTGGAATTAAACCAAGGGTAGAAAGACTTCCGCTGGGTACTAAGAAAGCGATTATAGAATTAAGCCTCGTAAAGGCAATTCTATGTTAAATCGCGAAAAATATGGAGGTTCGGCCGGGAAGAGGCACGAACGAGCGTCAATGGTCGACGGACGCCGAGACGTCCGGGACGGGACGCTACAGTTGGTATCAGAGCATGCTTGATCCTAGGATGGATAAGTGCTCGGGAATATGTCATGGTAAACGATTACTAAAGGTGTAACTTAAATGATTGAGTCCTCGGGGAACCGAATGATGAACTTGAACATTAGTGTTGGTGAGCCGGAAGGGAATTGAGGCAAGAACGCGATTACATGCTTGGAAACCAAGAGAGTTTGCCAAGATGAATTGGTTAAGCCAAGATGATTACCCAAGGTGCAAGAACTACATGTGTAGCAAGTAAATAATTATTCGGAGAGAGGGGCTGATTATAAAAGTTGAAAAAGTTAAGCTAAGTGTTTGGCGGATAAGGAAGTTGAGGTGAATGAGATTGATGTGCTTGAGGAAAGGTTACCCAAGGCATGATCGGGCACCAAGATACGAGCCTTGTAGTCAAACGACTTAAGATAACGGGGAAAAAGGTATTGATCTATTCGGAGAATGACCAAGATCAATAGAAATTAGATCTCGTCGGAATTTGACGAAGATCGGGAAAGACTTGATCTATTCGTTGAAAAGATCAAGGGGTATTGACCGAGTCCGGTAAAGGACCAAGGTCAGAAATTATTGACCAAGTCCGGTAAAGGACCAAGGTCGGGAAAAGTGACCGAGTCCAGTGTGGACCAAGGTCGGGATAAGTGACCGAGTCCGGTGTGGACCAAGGTCGGGAATTATTGACCAAGTCCGGTAAAGGACCAAGGTCGGGAATTATAGACCGAGTCTGAAAAGGACCAAGGTCGGGAATAATAACCGTGTCAGCAAAGGACCAAGGTTGGGAAATATAGATCGAGTCCGGTAAATGGACCAAGATCGGGAAAAATGGATCGAGTCCAAGAAAGGACCAAGATCGGGAAATGGATCGAGTCCGAGAAATGGACCAAGATCGGGAAAAATTTGATCGAGTCCAAGAAAGGACAAGGATAGGATAATTTGATCGAGTGTCGGAAAAGACCAAGATCGGGAAGCTTGATCAAATTCGGAAATAGATATTTGATCAAGTGTGACATCTAAAGTCTTCGGAAGACTAAAGATGGGAAAACGTTAAGGAGTAAAGAAACTCTAACACCCGCCGAATTCGAGGACGAATTCATTTTAAGGGGGGTAGACTTGTAACGTCCGCGTCCCGCGATCCTAAAGGGGGCCGGTTTGTTTTAGGGAAAACTAGATCATGGTCGAGAAAGACTTATGAACAAGTTAACCCAAGGAACGAAAGAAACGTTTAAGTCATGAAAAGGGTAGATGACTTAGACGGTTTCGGGATAATCTAGTGATCATGGAGAAATGATCATGGAAAGAATGGAAAGGGCGTAGTCAAGGCCGAGAAAACGGACCGAAAGACTTAGCCGAAAAGAACGGACGAAACTGTCCGAGCTAATCCAGCTAGGTGAGCTGGATGAACTAGCTAGCTCAGCTAGGTGAGCTAAACCAGCTGGAGGACTAGCTGGCTCAGCTAGGTGAGCTGACCGGCAGCTCAACCGAGCTCGGTGAACTGATCGAGTACTGACCCAGCTGGGTGGTCCGGTCAGCTGACACTCGAGCTGGTGGACTGTGGTAGCTCGGGATGAAGAGGTGTAATGTCGAGCGGTTACCTACGAACGGTTACCGTTGGCCAAAGGGTGGATAAGGCCGAACGGTTACGATCGGAAAGACGCAACCTTTCGGAAGGGTGCAACGAACGGATGTGATGTTTCGGAAACACACCCATTCGCCCCCTATATAAGGGAGGACGCCCAAGGCATTCGAATCACCATTCATACACTTCACAATCACCAACACAATCCGAAAATGGTCCTAAACACACCACGAAGTTGTTGGACGGAAAGGGGGTGCGGCTCGGCGAGTATCTCCGGAATCGGAACGGATTCTCGGAGCCTCGACCGAACTGATGCGCATGCTACCTCCCGTTCCAACGGTTCGATGGAATGTAAAGGACGGTTGGATTGATCGGACCGAACGTCGGAGAGACGGGACGGATCGGGTAAGATGGTCGGGTCGACCGAATGATCGGATCGTGGTATCGATCGATGGATCGGATCGATGGAACGACGATTCGATCAAGGAGTTGGATGGACGGTGAGTTCGACGACTTGATTGATGGTTTGGATCGATAGCTCGATTATGGGATCGATGGATCGTCCATTCTATAAGTCATATCGTCGAGGGAAGGACACGAAAGGAAATGGATCGGCAAATCTCAGATTATCAATACGGAAGTATTGACGTATCCAAAGATAGACCGATAGAATGATATGGTTAACGGGAAGTTGATCGGGAAGGCGTATAAGGGAAAGGTGTTCGAGGAAGCACGAGGATAAGTGCAACCGAACACACCCAAGGGTCGCCCATGGATGCAATCTCACCGAGAAAGGGAGAAAGCACTGTGAATGGGTAAGGCACGTGGTTCTCCATGTAAGGATCAAATATCGCGGCCGCCTTATGAATCAAACGTCGCAGCCTTGGTGAAACCGATCGGAAATCGGTAAGACCAATGGTGACTCGACGGATAACCAACGGGAAAGTCCACGGTGAGAACCGATGGACAAAACGGGTGTTGGACCCGCGAGTAAACCAATGGCCGACGAACGAATGATTTCATGGGCAAGCCTACGATAATCCGATGGATGAATCCACGGACCCTTGGGTGTGATAATGGTATCGTTCGGAGCACATGGATGGATCGATAAGCCGAAGGCTTTACCGACCACCATGGATCGGACGGGTAAACGGTTGGTAAACCGAAGGGGCGTACGTTTGGAAGACGGATGGACCAATGAGCCAAGAGCTTGATTCGGCCACCGTGAACCAAGAGGAACGTACGATCCCCAATCTCTATCGTGGGACTTAGACCAGTGGGGTTGGTTGGATGTATGGCTAAGTAACGATAGAGATTGGTCCATCAATACACGATTGGTTAAGAATCGTTGTACGAATGGAATAAGGCAACAAAAAGGGCTAAGGGAAGGATCAATAGACGGATCGAAGAGGAATCGCATCCGCATGTTGGCCAAGGTATGTAAACAAATCTAACTTATTAGTTAAGCTAGACGTTTGGGAATTGGCCGTTGGATTAAGGTTAAAAGAATATGCAATCGTTAGACTTAGAATGGATAGCGAACAAATTGCATGACTTGGCCGAGTTAATGATTGATCTAAAGTCTAAAGGATAAAGATGATCAAACCGGTACAAGGGTTGGTTGGAATTAAACCAAGGGTAGAAAGACTTCCGCTGGGTACTAAGAAAGCGATTATAGAATTAAGCCTCGTAAAGGCAATTCTATGTTAAATCGCGAAAAATATGGAGGTTCGGCCGGGAAGAGGCACGAACGAGCGTCAATGGTCGACGGACGCCGAGACGTCCGGGACGGGACGCTACAGGAAGATCCTCATCCCGAGCCACATTCGCAAAGGTATCCCCCCGAGCCACAAATTGGCTCGGATCTTGGTCCACGGATGACGATTTCGCTTCGCTATGGCTGTTCGCCTCGGAGCGATCCGAAAAACTTGCCTCGGGTCCTTCCGAGGGACTGCTCCAAATCATCTTCCTTTCGTGAACAGGAATGTTTCTGCCTCGGGACGAATCGCTCGAATCGGAGAGAGACATCTTTGGCTCGGGTGAATCAAAAAGAATCGGAGAAACAAGATTTGAAATCGGAAAAAACCAAATCTAAGATCTGGCACGGCGGAGGAACGACGGAAAGTAAAATAAAGCAGAGGAAATTAAAGAGATCAAGATCAGAGAGAAAAGAAGCGAACCTTAGAATTTTTCCTTGCAGATTGCGAAATGAGAAAATGAAGTGGAAGTCGGATATTTATAGAACGCATCGGCGCGTCGGGTACGCACGAGTTTAAGAGCATTTCGCATCCGCCCAAGTCTCAGGCGCGTCGGGTGCGCGTGACCAACATCAAGAGACTTCGCATCCGCACGGATCTCGGGAATCAGCAGGGGACTCTTCCACTTCTCGAGGTAGAAACTCAACCGTCATACGTCTAGAAGAAGATGAAGCGTCAAAGGGAATCTGAATCGACAGAAGAATGCCAATCACCGAAGCACACGAACCATCTTTGAAATATGAAAAACTTCGGCGGCATACAAGGATGGGCTCGGAACAAAGTCTAAAACGGCTCGGACTAAACAGTCGTAAAGCTCATCGTTTGCTTCTCAAATCAACGAGCTGGGGGGCTAACTGTTGGGGTCGGATTCCATCCCTTAGCACCGAGCCGGATTTTGGACACCTCAGGGAACTTCTGAAGACACCTCGGGGAAATGTATCAATCACCTCGGTGAACCAAGCCATTCACCTCGGGACGACGAGCCCTTCACCTCGGGACGACGAGCCACTCCCCTCGGGACGGCGAGCCCTTCACCTCGGGACGACGAGCCACTCGCCTCGGGGCAACATGCCAGTCGCCTCGGGATCCATAGGTGAACTCGTAACCCGAGCCAGCTCTTCCACCGACCGAGCCGGTTCAAGTCGAAATACCCGAGCCACTTCCTTCCGTGTGCCCGAGGCCATCATTTCGGGGTATCCGAACAAGTCATCTCGGGTACCCGAGCCGATTGCATAAGTTCTCCAAGGCGAAATCTTCATCATCACCCGAGGCAAAGACTTGTAAAATATTCGTCTTCAAAGTACCATTTCCAAGTAAGTCGTCATTTCCGAAAAAGGAGGATCATTTCCGATAAACCCGGAAATGATAAGGAAGAATCTCGAAGGATCGACCTGGATCAGGAAATCTTCCAAAATACTCCGAAGAATAAGGAAACTATCCTAATCCGCGATATTCTAAGCCGACTTCAAGATAAATGGAAATCTTCCGAGAATATCGCTGGAGAGGCGGTTTATCACCCCTATATAAAGAGACTCAAGGCTCTCGCAGAAAGCAAGCAATCTCGCTCTAGAATTTACACTACACAAAGCTCTTACAGCGCAAACACCTTTTTCTTGTACGATCAAACTCTTGTACGATCAAATCTATTCTTTTCATCAATAATAGCAAGAACACCATCTTTGGTATCAATTGATTCTGTTGTTCTTTGAGAATTCACGATTATCGTATCCCTAAAATAAAACCCTAGACAAATCTCGATTGTGTTAGTTTCGACTTCCACAGGCCGCTTTGCGGTGGAGCCTGTCACTATAAAAAGTTAACCCTAACAGTTTTTTGTCTAGTGGTAATACAAGGAAGTTGTTTTTCTGGGTTCGATTCTTGGCCACTGCGTAATTCACATGGCGGCTGCAGACTTCCAGGACCACGTCAGATCCGCTTGGACACGACGCTAGTCACACCCACTTCGGTGGGACCGAACATCTGGGGTATAAAAAAAAAAAAAATTACTACTCAAATAACAAATTACGTGGAAAAAAATAACTAGTTGGTGATATACTGATATCCCACGCCACTTTTGAACTATTGCAACATCGAGAAAACAAGAAACCGGGATTCAACTTGTGTGATGATCATACTTCGAATATGTACATCAATATATTTCGTATCGATCGCATGATTCACTTTTTTTTTTCCTTCTTTGCAAGATTGAAGGTTTTTTTTTATATCCAATACAATATTATATCAGAAGTTAACTAGGTGTTTTTTCAACTATGAAACTGTGAAAGTGATTTCTTACAGGTTTTATGTCCACATTAAAAACATATATTAGAAGTTAACGAGGTGTTTTCTCAACTGTGAGATCTTTCTTGCAGTTCTTAACCCCAAAAAAAAGAAAAGAAAAGAAAAATTCTTAAAGACATGTTAGGTATCCATGGAAATTTAATATGCCGACATTTCTAAAATGTAAGAATAAATCTGTATGGGAAAACTAAAGTTCGTATATATCAGAAAATAGAAATTAGGTAAACATCAGTTTACTTTATAAGACATAACTATTTCTTAGTATTGCATTTGTAAATGAGTGTTAATTACAATGATAAACACTCTATAACGACTTAGATTCAGTTCATATGGACCCAAACTTGGCCTGAAGTTCTTTGACAACACTTGCATCCAACTGGAATGCCCTGGCGAGAAGCTCTGGATAAATTGGAGGGTTTGACCCGAAAACAGCGTTTGCGATTGTGATGACACCAGCGTTCTGACTACTCAATCCCGCAAAAGCAACTGCTGGAATTTTCCCGATATTTACCTGAAAATGGATCATTCCTATGGGGAAAACAAAAACATCACCGGGGTGCAATACTTTGGCGAATAACCGGTTGTTATCTTGATTGGATGAGACAAAACCGACGTATAATGTTCCTTTGACAAGGACAAGGATCTCTGAGCCACGAGGGTGCGTGTGAGGTGGATTTTGGCCATCCGGCGCGTAGTCTATGCGGACCAATGATATTCCCATGGTGTTTAGCCCTGGGATCTGATCAACATTAACAGTAGTCACATTAGAGCCAACTTGATTATCCGTGTTCCCTGGTACGTTGAGTCCTGAGAAGAAAAAATCTTTTGCATCGACTCGCTTCGGGTCTTTACAAAACTTACCGTTCACAGAAACTGCAAGTAGAAGAGTATATATTATTACAACGTCAAAGTTAATCATAAGGAGACAAGTAGAGAAATAGATAAACGGAGGCTTCTTTACGTTACGTACCGCCTTTTAGGTCATCAATGGCAACACAAAAGTCTTGGAGTGGACTTGGATCATAAGCATTGGCAAAGGAAATGACTAAAAAAATTATGGCAATAGGGATGAGAGATTGAGAAACCATCATTATGCTATTATGCTCGCTCTAAATTTGTTATGCATGTATTATTGGTGAATCGTCAGTGCTTTAAAATTTATAGGACAAGAGCATAAGTCATATTTGACATGGAATGCACTAAATAATTAATGTTTAATGAAATTACACAAGTTTGGTACGGACTTTTAGTTACAAGAGAGCATATAAACAAAAAAGACTGGTAGTTGGAATTCCTTTAGGAAGATTAGCCAAATGTTGATGAGTCGATGTCAAAGAACGTAAAGACGTAACGTTAGGAGAGAGTCCCACCCACCTATTAGATGAAATCACATTAGTATTATTATGTGACACACGACCAAAAGTTTCATAGGGAGAATATAGGTTTCATATAGTGTGAATGGAATAATTAATAAGTAATGGACTGAACATAAGAAATATATATTATAAATCATAAAATTTACCTTCATAATATATGAAAGGTTTCTTATCTGCGAGTTTTGAACCCTAATTGAGAACCCGCGTCATTTCTATTCATTTTTCCCACTGGTAAGTCAAATATGAATTCTAATAAGTATTAAACACTTGAAAGTTTAACCGACTAAAAAAAGTGCATGTTAAGTTATATAAATAGCATACAGAATTTTAAATTTCTTTTTTATCACTACATTTTTTTCTTGTATATTTGGGAGCGACCAAATTCATAAATAATATATAAGCTAAATAATTTATAGAAAATATTTACAGAACACTTAGTTTTTCCTTATTCCTTCAACACATATTAAGATTACGTAGTATCTGAATTTTGTTACATAGGATACAATCGGTAATTAATTACCTTTGTCTAATGTCTCGCGTCTCTTGGACAGCTAGGACCTAAATAATAATAGACATGGCAAAGAGAAATAACCTCAATTTTTCACGGAAAAACAGAGAAAACAAGAAAGCCAACCACCAGCAGGTCCAGCACCACCCTGTTTCGAAGCATCCGGGTACAAACCGGTCTTCGAGTCGAGTCTTGATAGTTCTCTTTTTCCACTTTCACTCTTCATGTTTAGTGATGTCTTTCGTTCTTGTTGGTACTCTCCTAATCTACAGAAACATAAATAAATGATTTTAAAAATAAACCAATAGACCTCATAAGCACAACTCAATTAAAACCGAGTTTTCGGTCCAACCAATCTGGTTCTAACCGAGCAAATAGGCATGGAAGATTAGAAAACGACTTACGTGGGAAATGCGAAAGAAGCTGTACTGTTATTACTTGTTTCAGAGTGATAAGACTTGGTCGGAGAAATAGGAATCTGTGGTCGTGGATCCGGTTTCGGAACATTGATTAAGCCATCTCGATTACCGGTTTTTGGTCCCGTCTCTACTACGGTTATATTGACTTCTTTGGTTCCAGGGTCGGTCAAAGTGTTTTTGTTATCAATGTTGTTGTTATTGTAGCTAATATAGGGCGAAGCAGTATATTCGAAATTGGTGAGTTCTCCAGATTTATACATTTTGGAGAAACTATGGTCTCCCATGTGAATACTGAACAAAGATTCGTTCGATTGGATACTCCATTCTTGTTTAGGAGTTACCGAGGTTGCGAAAATCGAATGTGGAATCCGATCCGGTTCATAGCCTGGTTTAGTTTCCTGGTCCATTTGTGTACCTGTCTCCAAAGAAAAATATGTAATATCAATGAATGTAATCAGATTTCTTCAACAAATGGAATATTTGTAACCAAAAGAAGAGCTACCATTACCTTTGATCAAGTTCAAGATGAGAGTTCTTCAAGAACCAAAAAGGTTGAAAAGAACAATTTCTTTGTTTTAAAAAATGATGTGTGGAAAATAGATCAAAGCTGTGTCCTCATTAATAATGACTATTTTTCGTTGGATAACAAACGTAATTAAACTAACTAATCTCCATTAAAGAGTTAGTTATAAATTTTAAAAACCAAAAAAGTTTGAACTTCCGGTATAAGTTATAACCAAATCCTTGTCGTCATTAATAATGACTACTTTTTGGATATATTAATAAAAACTAACTAATATCCATTAGCTAGAGAGTTATTATAAATTAAGATAAACAATTTGGACTTCGGTTATAAGTTATAACCAAAAAAAAAAACATTGTTTGTAAGAAAGTTGGACAAATTCAAAGGCTGAGAGCCTAACTCGGAGCTGTTATTAATTTACGTTGGTCATTCCCTTTGGAAGTTGAACCTTGTTCTTCTAGTTTGAGATCTTTGGGGAAAATGATTTACGTAAGGTCAAGTATTATATATTAACAGTTTGTTCTAAACCTAGAAAAACTACGAATTTAAGTTTAGAACATCTTGGTTAATAAAAAAGTATCTATATATATTTGTTAACTATTTTTTTTAATGTATTTATCGGTATATATATATATTTTTAATGACAGATCAAGTTTGTCTCGAAAGAAAAAGACCACATAAAATTCATTTTAAAAGGTTTTCAATTAATATCTTGTTCTTGGTAGTTTTCGCGTTCGAGAGTTATACATTTTTGGGAAATCACATGACGAGACTTTAATATTCTTCTCGTCGGTGAGGTTTTATTGTTTCATAGTGCATAATTTTTCTTGTGATAATATTATTGATCTTGTCTACAATAATACAAATTTGTTGTCTTGTCTTCATTGTTTAGTACACAGAACAACTCAATAACAAAAATGAGCAGTAAGGTACTTTGTAGTTTGCATGTATGGACGAAAGATACCAAGAAAATATTTGTATCAATTGTGGTACAACTATTGGGCCCACGAATATTCAGTATTCAGTTTCGTACAAGCCCATGTGAGCCTTTACAGGCCAATTGACAATTTTAAATATATTTATAGCAACAATAAAAAAAATTATTTTTCAGTCAAATTTGCAACCGAAACTAGATCAACAAGTGAATCAAAATTTTGAATTTTTATATAATCGATAGAATTAAGGATATAATATGATAATTTACTCCAAACATATACTATTGTACAAAGCTGAGTAGAATTAGTAATCATTTTAGTTCCACACTTCTAGCGTTTAACAGGCTATTGGGGACAACTATACCGGGCCCTATTTGGGTCATCAATGGCCCATTAAAGATATATGAGTTACATTCATAATTTAAGGAAAATAAATAGTTGGTGTATGCTTCTCGTAATATCATCTTATCTACAACAACTACAAGCTTATATTGCTGCTACTAAAATACAAAATTGTTGGAAGTAATTTTTCAAGATATCAAAATGGAGTGTTCGCTGCAGCAACAACTTTTCAACAACGGAGATAAGCTCTTTAATTGTAAGCTCTAACACTTTCCTCCCTCATATTCACATCTATTAGTGCAAATCAAGAATTAACTTAAACCAATATCGATTGCAATTCCTCCATTTTCTTTGCTTTCAGCTCGACATAACCGACAGGTTTCGATAGAACAATTCCATGTAACAGATTCTCTTCTCGCAAACTCGATAAACCTGTTTCATAAACCTATAAGTTCTCCAATATTGTCCATCATTACTTCAAGAAAGAGCAAAAGCCATTTTAGAGTAAGTGTTGGTTCATTGCAATTTTTTTAAGTTGATAATTTAAGAGATTATGTTGCATAATTTTTCGAAATTGGTGATTTCAGTCATCTTGCAATCCCGGAAATTAAATCACTAAACTCAAAGATATTCCATAGTTGACCACTTAATTATTCAAAAAAAAAAAAAGATTAAGGTAACTTAATATGATTTAACAAATGTCTAATGTGATTATATGATTTAGGTTTGTGCAACAAGGAGAAGAAGGGTGCATTATTCGAACTCGGATACGTACGTACTGTTAGAGGCAGGACAAGACGAGCAGTTTGTGTCGGAAGACGAACTCAAGGCTAAGCTCAAAGGGTGGCTCGAGAATTGGCCGGTGAACTCTTTGCCACCAGACCTGGCTAGGTTCAATGACCTTGATGAAGCCGTCGATTTCTTGGTTAAAGCTGTTTGTGAACTTGAAATTTATGGAGAAGTAGGTTCTGTTCAATGGTACCAAGTTCGTCTTGAGTAATTAAAAAATCGTATTATGTCTTTTCAATGTACTAAGCACATTTCTTTAAACTAGTATTTTTGTTTTGTTCTTTAATAGATACTTTTCATTTCTTTAATCGTATTATGGGTAGTCTGACCCTTTCTCCGACTCCCTACTCTCATCGTCGAGAAGAGGTCCTAATAGACCAAATGTTGGGCTTGGTTTTAAATTGGGTCAATTTGTGGGTTTGATCTGTCTAGTCTTGTTATATCACGGCTACCATGCGCCAAAGATAGCCGAAACAATCTCATGGCACCAGTGGTTGGCTTATTTGTAATGGCGTGCCGCAACTAAGAGGTCTAAAAAGTACTTGAGTTCTATAGGGCAACTCATCAGACATGGTTGGTATGAGTCATAAAATGAGCAAGGAGCGAATAGAGGAGTTTTTCTCTGGAAGTGTGTATTTACTTTCGTCAGTGTTGATTCAGCCTCTTGTCCATGTATCATGCTTTCATTGACAATTGCAAATTCACCCCAACAAATATTTTTAATTTGAGATTAAGATTTCTTTCAATAATAATATGTAATTAAATTGTTCAACATGAAAAATTCTTACATGAAGGCTTTTTTTTTACTGGCTGCCCCAAAAAAACTGACTCATTTTCTTTAATGATCAAATACAAATTATTTTCAAATCTCTAGGATTTTATATATGACTATAAGTCTATGACACATTTTCCATATAAATGAAAAAAAAAAAAAGAGAAAGAAGAATTGTAATCTGATAAGAAAGAAACTTATCTTATTTACCAAAAAAAAAAGAAAAAGAAAGAAACTTATCTTCTAAAAATAATAAGTTGATTGTATAGTACTTTAATAGTTTTAATCATTTAAATTAGGTTAAATTCTTTTATATTTAATTGTGTTGTTACTGCATATAGTTATGTTTTGTATGTAAGAAATTCTTAAAAAGGTTTAATGACACTAAAATTCTTAAATTCGTTTTTTATGTGACTAAATTGTGTTTTAAACTTACTTTATATTATCTAAATCTCAGTTCCGATTTTTTTTATTTCTTTTAATTTAATCATATATGATTCCTTATTTAATAATGACTAATTTAACTTGCATATTAAGTATTGAAATTCATTAGTTGGTTTTAAATCATAGTATATAAAATTGAATGGGGTTGGATTTAATTTAATTTAATTGTATTGTTAATGCATTTGATTGTGATTTAATAAAAAAAAACATTCTCAGAAAGATTAATGCACCCAATAAGTGTTGGTTAATTTTATAGTTAACACTAGATTTTAACCCGCGGTACACCGCGGGATGATTTAATTTTAAAGTTAGTATAACAATATTTTGTAAATTGTATCTCCTTATAACATATTTATTTATATTATAGTTTACAATTGTTATTAAGTAACGGTATACCACGAGTCCACGAGATAATTATTAATAAACTGAGGATTTAACCCGTATTAAAGCGGTATATAAATATTGATTCAAATTCGTCCGCCATATAAATCATTTCCGAAATATAACCCGTTCCGTAATTTCTTAACCCGTCCTGTGATTTGTATTAAAAAAAATAAGGATTAAATCCATATTGAAGCGGCGGATTAATGATATTTTAATCTTTTTATTATTGTTGATTCAAAAACCCGTCCCGCCAAACCCATCCCGCCAAAAAACTCATTTATTTTATTAATGTTCTTATTTATGATATGATTCTGAATCATTGTCTAAATATTTTAATCGATGTAGAACGTTGAACACACATTTTCGTCAATTGGATAATATATGTCCGTTTTTAAAATTTCGAATCACAGTATATGCAGAAAAAAAAATTGATTTTTTTTTTTACTTTATGTATTATATGATGATTCAAAACAGTTAAAAACAAATCAAACAAAGATGATAGGAGAATCATAATTATAAATCTTAATCAAATCTTCTAAAAATCTAAATTATTAAATATGGAATATCCGGTGTATGAGTTGGGTTAAATATAACCCGACCCAACAAATTTTTTGTGAAGGAATTTTTAAAATGGGTCGGATATCCGATATACCCGAAAGCTTTTTTACCCACCCGTCACAAAAAGTGCTGCGATCCTATACTAATATTTGGGAAGTACATCCTAAGGATCATAACGTTGATTTTGTAAGAAATTACAATATATGCCATTAGAGAATTATAATTATAATCATTTTTTCCATGTCACTAATATATATTAACGGGTCAACGGGTCAAATGGGTTTAAAGATATTAAAGAGATTTTATTTATATATAATCCGAATTTATAAAAAAAATGTTCAATAATTCGAATTTATAAAAAAAAAATATTATTTTGAATTAGTAATCATATATTAACGTTCTAAGTTATTAATAAATTATTCGAAAATGTTATTGAAAATGTTATATACTAATCCATTATTCGAAAATGTTATTGAAAATGATATATCATTGAAATTTTTTTATATAAATCAAATTTATAAAAAAATGTTATTTTGAATTATAGTAATCATATAGCTCGAAAATGTTCTTGAAAATGTTATATACTAATCCATTATTCGAAAATCTATATATATATTTTTGGAGTACCCTTAGTAAATAAATCCTGGAGTTGAGAAGTATTTACAAGAAATGCCATTGGCTTTAATTCTAAAATTTTGAAAAACTTAATTAAAGATATTAACACAACGATTTAGATCCTAAATTATCTCTTAAAATTTATCTTTCCATACCTATATTCACTCATTTGCTAATTGCCATTTTAAAAAAAAAATAATGCTAACAACAATCGTTTAAAGCTAATCTTATAGAAAACATGTTTCCAAAAATTGTAACTAAATCAATATTGTTTCTATATTAATTTGTGGCGTTAAAATATAATAAATGAAAGATTCCTAATTACTAGCATTTTCTTATCTAACAACTCAATTTTTGTTAAGATTTTTAAAGATAATGAATAAGATTTATTGGTATTAAACTCTAATTTCCTATATTTCTTACAAAAAATATCCATAAATCGATTACATATTTATGATATCCCAACTATAATTACTAATCAATAGCAAGAAATATATTGCATATTCCTTTAAGTTAAAACGATTTCCAAAATTTTATTCCAAATATGCTATGGTTTCTAAGATATTATGCTTGCTCACCAAGATCTTCAAAAACTAACTTATAAATACTCCCTACCATTGCATAATCTCTCATCATCAAAAACAAAGCAATTTTTTATTTTTCTAACAATCAAACCTTCAAATAATGGCTGTTCGGAGAAATTAAACAAGCAACCATGACGAAGAAGAAACTTGAAGAGTTGAAGATCTCATGAAAAACATTTGTTTAAAGAGTTTGACAGCGAAAGAGATCACCACTAGCCATGGAAACCAGGGTTACAAAGCACAATGGAGATCGATTAGTGTTATTTTCTTCTTTTTCTTCTTTTTCTTCAAATTAATAGGTAGAAAAGCTGATTGATGCGTGTGTCCTAAACTTGACCTTTCCATCGGTGATTTTAGCTAATTAAAAAATATGTACATGTTTGGTTTTGTAATTAATTTGTTTTATTGAGATTTAATGAATTGTTAATTTTATTGTCTTCTAATCATCTTTTCTTATTTGTTTCAGAAAATCTGATACTGGCATGGTCTCTAAAAAACCAAATAAATACCTTCAAAGATTGTAGTGGAGAAAAAATCAGTTTGACAACAAAATTTTATTTTTCTCTAGACTTAGTATTGATCAAAATACATATGTGGCTAAAAAAAGATGGTAGGGATTTGACAAAATGAAGACATAAACACATCTCTCATGGCTTCTTTTCAACGCTGTGTAGCTTTATTGATTTTTAATATTGTTTTTAGATTCTATTTTTTTAAAAGAGTTTATGTATCATATTAATATTATATTATTATTATTAGGTATCATATTATCAAAAAAATAAATATTATTTATTATTAATAATAGTTTTTTTGCTATAAATATATTTTATAAATAAGAAGAGTGATACCGACAAAAATAAATTAGAAAAAAGGGATTTACTAAAATGGCCGCAAGTCTTGTGAAATCAAGCAGGGGAATGCAGGCATACTATATACTTTTGCGGGTTCGTAGAATGGTTTTTTGCGGATTAAAAATCTTTAAACCCGTTGTGGGACGGACCTATCATAGCGGGTTTGAACTATTAAACCAACAATAAAACTATTAACTTCTTGATTTATATTTTGGATTTGTATTCATGGTGTGGAATTAATTAAGTTACAAATGATATCCATATTTATTATACCATCTACAATATATAATACAAAGTAACACTTTCTTACTTTTAAAACAACTATTTTTAATTGATAAACTAGATCATGACCCGCACATACGTGCGGGGTTTCTTATTTTAAGAAAATGTGTTGTAATAAACTTTTTGTAAATACAGAATATTTTGTTGTTTGTTGATATATATTGTTATATATATATATATTATAATGTACACAAAAAATTGTAAAATGCTATTTATAATGTTTATGACACAATAACTAATGTTGTGAACCATATGTCAAATTTTGGAGTATGAAATTAGAGAGTAAATTAGAAAAAAAATCTTATTAGATAAAAATATAATATAGGTTAGATTGATATAAACAAATTTATTTTATATAGTATTTATAACACAATCTTATATTATTTGTGAGATAATCAACGACTTGGATGTATGCATAATATTTATAGGAAATAGATTGTACATGGAATTAGGTTTTAATTTGTGGATGATGACGAAAAATAATAATCTTAATTGCATATTTTAAATTTATGATGACGAAATTATTAAAAAAAAATCTAAAAATTCCGATGATCCTTATGCATAATCGCAAATATGGTGATTATGATTGTTCAAATACAATTAATGAGCTGTTAAAAAATTCTATTAATGTTTGTTCCCAGAAAAAATGCTATTCAAATTTAGTAGAAAAATAAGAATATTGGTGTGAATGAATATTTTCTCATTTTGAAGTATTTGCATTGAAATTTTAAACATTGGTATTTAAATTATATTTTAATGTTTTTTGAAAAAATAAAGTAATCTAATTTAGAAGAATATATATTCCAAAAGCTTA